CACGTCAGCAGCGTACACCCATGGGCAAATAGTAGACGCTAAATTAACCAATCAGAGCGCGCGCTTTGCTTTAGTTATGTTATAAATGCGTATATACGCCATCTAAATGGTCGTATATATGAGCTTAAAGCCCATACGTAACGTATGTAAACAAGTAAACGAGGCAGAAAAACCCGCGTATACCCTGTCGTAATTTTGAAACGAATGGCCAACCATAATCTTCCAGTACGGTAATTACAACATCTTTCTACTGTTGCTCTTGACTGTTTACAATAACTACCACGAGTTCCCTTCTCACGTTTCTTTTATGGGAACAACCACATGATGCATCAGATCACTGTCAAACCGTCAATTCATTAATTTTATGCTAACGTCACGACATGCGCAATTCGCATAAAGTACCACTGCCATTACGCGCAAAGCTACTTAGCATATTTTCCTTCAAAGCTATACGCAGTGACTAAAAGATTTTCGTCCTAGATATTAACTATCAATTTTCAAGTGGTTGACCAAGATAAAGCGACGCGAGAAATATAAAAATTACAATGTTTGTTTCCATCAATTAAAACTTAAGGATCACTCTAAGTTTAAAGATAAAAGTTGTTGTTAAATATTTCTTACGACATAAGTGTTACAAGAAAAAGATTTCGTGGGTGGGCCTTTCCCAAATTCTAAACAAGACTAGTTCAATATCATTTATCTGTACGTGCTCTCAAGTTTAAACATATCCAAGGAGACACCATAGTGTTATTTGTAAAATGTACACATTTCTTTCCACTTTTGTGCGAAGTGTGAACGAGATATGAATTTCAATTAAACAGCCGAATTTCGACGAAATGAACAAGAATTAACTGAAAAATTAGACAACAAAATCCTGATAAGTTATGGAATCTAGAATGGCTATTTCCACGAATGGTGATTTTAAAAATTAGACATCGATTTTACTTCATTATCTCGATTGACGAAGAGTGACCAAGAGTGACCAAGGTAACGGTAAATACAGCTGGAAAAGTCCCGAAAATGATGTTCTCAATAAAATTATGAATAAACTTTAGTTTCCCTTCTAAAGTATAGGCTGCCTAATGTAAGTAGAATGTAGAATTTGATCAGTACTGAAATAGAAAACCAAGAAGCTCTTTTTCTACTACCCTGAAATATCTCACGATTATAATATCCTGCCCTCAAAACAAGCTTTCCTTTAATAATTTAACAACGATTTAAATTAATTAATAATTGAATGACGAATAGATAAATACATAAAATGCATTCTGGCTTTGCATTTTTATTGTTTAAGGTGGCTCCCTATAGTTTCATGATTGCACGCGCGTATAGGACGAAAGCTCAAGTAAACTGCGCGCGCTCAAAGGAAAACGTTAGTGTTTTTCGGTTTTATGACGTCAACATGAGCACAAAAAGCAAAACTGGATTACAAATGCTCGGTGACCTTGAACTAGTTAAGTTGAAATGAGCTCCTAGATCCTAGCTCAACGGCAAACGATGTGCATTTGGGTTTAAAGTTGAGCAAAATCGTCTCCGATCGGTGGGTTTCCGCCATATTGTAAGAAAGTGCTTTGTCAGCAAAAAATGAACCTTTAAGTCAATATACAACTAAAGAATTATTTGCATATTTAAGTTGATCCTTTCTCAAGAGAAACAATTTCCTGTAGAACTTTTGACTACAGTTGCTTTTCTACCCACTATTCCTCTCGTTCAGCGAATCAATCTATCACTATTGAAAGCCACTATGAGGTGCCTTATGGAAGCTTTTTTTGAAATATAAACGTAAAACCCGAGATAAGACGCATCGGCTGAGTCGCTCGGCAAATCAATCAGCAATATTCTTGGGTATAATTATTGTAGAAACTTTAAGCGAAACTATGGAATATTTTATGCATTTTTAAGGTTTAATTAAAATTATTGAACAAAATATATCTTAAAACAATGTGCAGACGAAGCAAGTTCTCACGGGAACTAATCAATTTCTGAATTTGTCTGCGTACACGTAGCAGTATAAATATCATCAATTTAACTAGGGGATTGCCCCCAATCCCACAACAACATCAATATTTTGCAGCTTAAAGGAATTAAATTTTTTCCAATGTTGATTGATAAAAAAAACGTTACGTTTTTCTCTTTGGTTTATTTTGTTGGGAAAAATTGTTATTATAATTATTTTTTAGTAGCAGTCAAATTCCTCGGGGTGGCTCCTTCCACGTAAGAAATCATTTATCGTTGTGTGGGCTAGTGTTATATTTTGGAAAGCTTGTTTTGCATTCGCTTTCACACCCAATTCTCTTAAACGTATCAAGTGCATAAAGCAGCCATGAAATAGTGTGTTATTACAATCATTCTCTGTTAAAATTGTGGCTTTAAAAATGTCCAAACAAATGCGTGCCCCGACTAAAGTAAATACCTATTACCAGTCTGCAAAATTTCACGGAATTTCACCGGAGGAAACGCGAGAAAATTCTTTGCCAGTGTTGCTTTTTGTTGTCATGTATTGAAAAACACTGATGTTTTCCCCTGAGCGCGCGCAGATTACTAAAGCTTTCGTCCTCAGCGCGCGTGCGGTTGTAAAACCATAGCGAGCCACTTTGAGATTGAATAATTTTGTGACATTCACATTCAGTTCAATAACATATTGAAAATATGAAGACCTCCCAATCCGGTGCGTTTTAAAGGGGTCTGTCCCCTTCCCCCCTCTCGCACCCCACTCTCTAAACAAAAATCATCCTCATGTGTACCGCTGAAAAAAACTGGAATGTCGAAAATGTGTTTTGTGACAATGTTAAGCTCTGTTCAATGCTGAAAATACAGATATCGCCTATTAGATTGAAAGTGTTTTGCTAAATTCATGCCAACACAATCCTGGGTATTAATTAAGCCCTGTTGAAAACCAACGCCAGGGCATATGCATGTTTATTTTAATATTCAACCAAAAAGATGAAAGGTCGACTACTGTAGGCTTAATCAGTCGAATACACGAACGGAAAGAGGGATATTAAATTTAAATCTGAGCAAAAATCATTCTGGATTTCTAATTTTTAATCTGCATTTTATTTTCACGCAACAATCCAATTCGCTATTATCATTTGATACTTTTTTAAATGGTCTGTCTTGCTGACCACATAAATTGTGAGAAACTGATCTGCTGAGGCAGATACAAGCTATCTAAAGTGGGTGATTAAAAAACAAAACGAAATGGGAGGGTTCGCGTGACCACAAGAGGTCAAAATAACTAAAAATAAGTCAGCGTGATAGATTGTAAATATGGGCATTGAGCCAAATCGTTGGTGTGGATCTAATCGTTCATCGAAGATACAAAAGTCTCGATGGCGTGGAAAAACGTCGCTCTACCACGGGGATTTAGAGGTGCGATATCATTAAAAGCATTTGTCTAGCGACGTAAAGCTGAGAGAATACCATTGGCGTGTGTAAACTTTCGATTTCTCGGGGATTCCCCCGGATTTTAAGTTGGGGTTGGCCACTAGTTCAGCCACAGCTTGTCGCTCCTATGATAACTTCCTATTTGCATTTTACATTGACAAAGTTTATGTAAATTTGTTCTTCGGAGGACATCTTTTACTCCTCGACTAAAGTAAGGCGCTTTTCTATCATCAAAAATGGATACGATGGAGATTTTGAGCGTGTGCGATGAACAGTTTCCGACGAAATAAAACACCTGAATCACCTTAGACATTTGGTGAATCAACAAAAGAGCTTGCGTTTGCATATACAAAAATTCTTGCAGTCTGTTTCAATTTTAGCCGAATTGCTGAAAACTGAATTTTACAGATATTATGAAAAATAACCAAAATTAAAGGCTCCACAGGGAAACGTGAAACCAACCCTAGCATTTCGAAAACAATTCATCTTATTTTCTGTCTATATTATGTCACTGCGGGTCGACTTGAATAAACGAGTTTTTAGGGGAAAAAAAAAGGGAAAAACCCCTTGCAGGTATAACGCATGTATGCAACGATGTATGTCGTGATAATATATAAACAGCTGGTTGTAAGAGGAGAGAAAATATCAGTATGGCCTTAAATTTGAAAACGGGATTCGCTGTTAAATATCTCCATGTGAAGCAAAATAAAGTGCATAGAGTTTCGGGTAAATATGTTAAATTTAAATATCTACTTTTCTGCTTTATAACGAACATTCAAATGATTTAGACGACAGACATATGAAATCCGAAACACAAGGGAAAAACCCCTCTTTAAGATGGGATTTTTCCCGTCACTTATATTATTGTTATTATTATCATCAGCAGATGTTTGTCAGACTTATAAAGCACTGTCTACATCGCCAAGTGCGCACAACATCCAGTCCGCGATTCAATTCACCACTAAAAACGAAAGCGAAGTTATATCTAACTTTCAGTTTTGGATTAAACAGAGTGAACTTCCGGTTTTATCTGAGGGGGCGCCAAGATACTTTATGAACATCGAGACTTGACTCATTAAAGAATTCGATTTTTCAGTTGACTGGCTGGATATAATTTCCACAAGGCAAAGAACGACGACACATCATGCACGATTACAGTAAACCTTCGGGAAAAAAGCGATTGCGCTTCAAAGATTGGTTGATTGAGAGGCTTGACACCGGCGAAATTAGAGGGGTGCAGTGGATTGATCGAGAACGAGGATTGTTCAAAATACCCTGGGTGCACGGATCTCACAAAAACTGGAACCTAAATGATGTTGAAATATTTCGTCAGTGGGCTATTTACTCTGGAAAATACAATCCGACAGACCGGAGACCTGATGCTATCAAGTGGAAAACGAACTTTAGATGCACGTTGAATGCTCTTCCCGATTTCAAAGAAATCGAAGTTCGCGAAGAAAGCTCCCCTCGAGGACCCAAGAGGTATAAGATCTACAGTTTGAAAAACAAAGGCAAGGTAAAGAAGGGGCAGAACGAGCTTGGAAAGGAAGAAAAAAGTAAGTTTGAAAAACATATTCACAGCTGATTGAGATTCCACACTTTTCGGTATTAAAAACAGACTGATTTTCTTGGAAAACCGTGATCACAAGAGGTTACTTATTAACGGCGACGGGGGGGAGGGGTCGGTCTCAGTAACAAAGAAAATAAAAGTAGCAGAATTCTCAGGAATACATTTATAAAATGACGCATAGCACACTGTTGGGAGAAATCCGCTTCGAAGCCTTTCTTGCGCTTTCTTATGCTAAAAGTATCGTCGACATAAGGGACTTTACTCAAAATACAACGGTAACTGCAACAAAAGCACTTTCACGGAGAAGCTTCATGAGAAGAACCATGGATCGTCACGAGCACAGTGCGCCTTTGTACATTTCGTCACCGTCCTCTTGAAATGCGACCAATGTTCGAGTGTTTTTAAGACCGCGTGCATGGCCCGCTACTCCTAATTTTTCGCATTTCTATACGGAACTGAAAGCATTCGCGTCGTATTTGGCAGGAGAAAGTTTTTTACAGCTAGACAGACACTCTAGATAGATCGAGAATTTGAAGTAAAATATTCATACATTTTATAAGAGGCGTCGTCTTTGCCGTCGCCGTCGTATAGAGGTAGGGCCACTATTTGTTTGAACCCATCACAGGGAAAGTACCTGACAAAATCCAAAAAATGCTTACTTGGTAAATTTAGTTGTTTACCGAAAAAATTGCAAACCGAGCGTTTTTAAACGAATGACAAGTTGATGTCCCACCCTCCACACCCTGATTATATTTATATCTTTGTTTTGTTGATGGGTCTTGTGACCAGCTAGCAGCCAAACAGGATATATTAAATTCCTAGAAAATTCGCGCAAGTGTCGTCGAAGATTAATTTTCTCTCTCCTTCTCAGTTTAAGTTAGTCTCTTGGTGCAAATTTTAATTCACGTTAAAATCAATACTTTTCTTATATTTACTGGACAAAGAGAAATTCGCATCGATTTTTTATCTCATCATGTTTGTGTGAATAAACATCCTACAGGAAATGATAAGAAGGTTTTGTCCATTGACAGATGTCTGCACCACCAACCACGAAGACCTGGGGATCGTCACAGAATTATTTCAAGTTTGCTGCTAAAAGCGATTTTCAAGAAAACCCCAAAATAAATTTTCTGCGACAAAATATTTACGATCTTTGACACTGCTTCTTAAGAAGCCGAATTAAAATAAGAGGATTAGTATATTGTCTTTGAAAATATGCAAAATTAAAGAGATGAAAGCATATTCTATTTTTGATCGTTTCCTCGTCAACCGCCAAGGCTTAAAAAAAATGTAAACTGGTCCCGGAGGTTTTCCTTGATTTTTCTCAGCATGAGATGAGACAGCAGAGCCGCAAAGCGGCGAACACGAGTCGCCGCTGCGCGACTCGTGTTCGCCGCTTCGCGGCTATCACATCTTATGCGGAGAAAAATCAAGAAAAACCTCTGGGACCAGGGTAAAAAAAAAAAATGACAACGACGACGAAAGTATGGCAACAGCAAGGATTGGAAGCAACTTTCTCCTAAAATTTTCAATAGAAAGTAAAGTCAGATGGCCTGGATCACTTCCCTAAACTGGATGTCAAATCCTTCCAAGAAATGCTACACAATCAACATCTTAGACAGACTTATCGCTTCCACAAACTCTGACGTCACGTCACGTCCTCTCTCTCTGTTAGTACTTAGTACCTCTCTCGCGCTGTGCGCTTGAATTATTGACAACCAAGAAATATTCAGAACTGCCGTACACTGTAGTCGAGGATGGGGCNCTCTCTCTCTCTCTCTCTCTCTCTCTCTCTCTCTCTCTCTCTCTCTCTCTCTCTCTCTCTCTCTCTCTGCATATTAGTACACAGTACCTCTCTCGCGTTGTGCGCTTGAATTGTTGACAACCAAGAAATATTTAGACCTGCCGTACACTAGCCTGTGAACAGGCTCTGTAGTCGAGGATGGGGCGAACAGAAAGTGGGAAGAAATAGGAGGGTAGAGCTCCCCCCTCACCACCCCAATCCCCCCTCACCACTTCACTCTCAGCCAATTCCTTGTCAGCCAATTCCTTGTCAGCCCTTCCAGCCGCGTTCATACCCTTTCAGCCGGAGCCTGTTCACAGGCTAGCCGTTCGAATTCATCTCAAAACCTTTAAGGTTAAACCTTATCTTGTCAGTTGTGAAGTAACCAGGTTTCTGAAGTTTCTGGACCCCTCGGGCTTTGAAGTCATTATTGTTTTGACTCCTCCACAAACTAACGCAATTTAAATTCAGATATTGTTTTCTTTATCCAGGAACTGACGCATTTGCTCTGACAGACAAAGAAATAGTTCAGGTTTGTAGTAAACTGATAGACATATAGCTTGTTAAATATAGTTCATGTTTTTGTAATGTTATCTAAGGGTCCGCAAGCAAGTCAAGTTTAAAAAAATATAGAGAATCGGTCAACATGAACAAATTAAAACCGCCGGGACCTGTTCGATACCTGTTCTTTAATCGGATTAATGCCAGCTTTCAGGGCTTTACACGTCGAAACTCTTACAGGACTCAAAAGCGTCTAAATTAACTCAAAAAAATACCGAATTTCATTTTTCGACATATCAAAAAACGAGTACCAACGACACACAAGGCAAATTACAATCGTTCTGTAATCTAAAGTCACATTAACGCACTGCTCACAGCGGTAGAAAATTAAAGTTGCTTAAGGACGGTGCCTTCTTTTGTTGGTGCGCACACGTTCTGCGCATCACGCAAGGCATGGTTTAAGCGCCACGCGCGCGCTGGGTTGACATGACGCAATCAACTACGCTACTAAGTACGCGATTAAATTGAAAGCAATATTTTCCTACTGTGACTAAATCAAGTTTACTGGACCTGTACTTAAACCAGGAACACCAGAACAGCAGCATATCGCTAACCACTAACTGTTAACGTCTTCCAGCTAAAAAACTGGCTGTTATCTGTCGAAAATTATACTGAAATCCAACTGTAGACAGGTACCTGCAGATGGCGTAGTGCGCGCGCAAAACAAGTGCGAGATACGCAAATGTTTTACTTACTGGGGAGGTGACAGGAAAAAAATGTAACAGGCACCGTAAAAAGTTTAAAAAAGGATCAATAACTTTAAAAAACGCGTGGTTACCCCTGTATTTTATGTTATGAAATGGAAGTGGCAAGCATATTCAGCAGGTGATTAGTTTCTGGTTGTGAGCAAAAGATATTTAGATGAAACAGAGGAAGGCTGTCAGAGACGCTAAAAGTGCTGTTGCAACGATTTTGTTATTAAAAACATACCAAAAATGGTTTTTATGTTACATACCATTTACCATGTAGTTTTCAGATCTTTATAAATGTGTTCGTTTTTCTGTATGTGAAGGCGAATTCTAAAGAAAGCTGTGAAGAAATATATTCTCCTTCTACTTTCAGAAAAATGCTGATGTCAGCATTTTTGTTGAGATTCAAGGCTAATTATCTCGAAAAATGAGTGGTTACACTCTTTTTTCTTTGTGGATTCCGATAGCCTTTGCAAAGATCTACTTTTTCCGTAAGGTCCTAACCAGGTGCAAAAACCTTTGTATTTAGTAGGCACCGTCCTTAAAAGCACCTTTCCCAAAAAGTCTTATCATGGTTCTGTTTATTTCAGATGGTGGACGAGATGATGACTCCTGGACCTATCACGAGACCTGCATTACAGAAGCCCTTGTTGATTACTCGAGCTCGTCCAAACGCAACCTATCCTGCTTTCGAGACACTTGTGCTGGGAAAATCAACAGGTAGGTCAGAGTTCAAATATATCGAACGGTTCATATATTTTTCCCTTATAGCACTCTTGTTTTAACTGACTTTCGTCCTTTTTCGTCTGCCACCTCTGCTGTTATCTCAGCTATCACCTTTTTCTAACCATAGCTGTCTAAAGAAATAGAAAACATTTTAAATCTATCTTACTAGAGAGACGAAGTGAAAGTTTGTAATAGCAATGCTGTAGGGACACGAGCGATAAACAAGAGTTTGTTCAGATTTTTCGAGTTATATGACGGACATCTTTTAGAACGGGCTTTCTTATAGTGTTTTATTTTTTTACTTTGCAGAGACGTTTCCTTTTTCTTACACACCGTGGTTCTTGGCGGCATGGAATGCTATGGCAGTGGACCTACACGTGGAGAAACCCGAAGTGGAAAAATCTGCTCAGGAAAGTGTCGGCGAGGGAAATGACTCCTCAGAGGGATCCGCCGAGGATGGTGAATAAGAAGGAGCTTGCACAAGCCTTGCAACGCGGTCGGCCTAATAGCTTAAAACCGAGACAGTGTCAAAACAAGCGCAAAGATCATTATAGTGAATCTTCTTACATATAGTTATGTGTAAAATTTTAGATGCTAGCGTAGAGGTAGAGTAGAGTAGACAATATGGTAGTCATTCGTAGTGTAAGGAGTATTTAGATTCTGATCGCCTTTGGGAGACCGTGAAAGGAAGGGGGTTACAAAACCGCTGACAATGGTTCGAAAATAATCAAAAGCGTCGGAGACTAAAGATAACTTAGAAAGTGAAGTTAATGCGAGAAAATTAATTTTTCAGTTCATTAAAAACAACAGGATTCAAGATTTGAAAAACGGGCTGGGTTGCCATGGAAACATCAAGATCCTTGACCAATGGTATGAACCCCTTATGGAAATAAAATGAAAGAACTTTAACAAATATACAAAACAATAAGTTTTTTGCTTAACGTTGAGTAACTGTTTGAAATCATGTTGAGATTTAAAGTGTAAAAAGACAATGTAAGCAATGGACAGTTTGCTGTGTTCACTCAAAGTAATATAAAACGCCGCAAGCATTCTTACGAAACGCTTTAATCTTCGATTGAGATTAGATCGCAGTAAGTAAGCAGAATACAGGCATAAGGTGCGCAAATTACCGTAGACGACAGCTAACACATTGAATAAAGAGCGGCGTGGATAACGAGAAAGAAGTGTATTTTTATTCCGTATAGGGGAAAGCGTGCTAACCAACCATTGTGCCGGAGGCCTGGGTTCTAACCATGGCGCAGGAAAAGACGCTGTATTTGGCATTACATTGCATTGCATTGCATGGCACTGCAAATATCAGGAGTTTTAAATGGGTTGTGATAAAGGTGGGTAGGGGAAGGGGCGCGCAACGTTTCTTGGTCTGATAACAGGATTTCATCCAGGATAAGTAACAATGGTAATAATGTTATTTGCATTACGCTTCGAGATAAGGATTAAATAACGACCTGAGAAGCTTCACTTGGTAATCGTAACATTTCATAAACAATGCAATTTCTTTTATTGTTCAAGACCTGCAACAATCCCATCGATTAAGTTGGAACCACGTGGTATAATGGAAGCTTTCTTTACTCAAACGGAATTTTCTTCCATGTTTTCGAGACTATACTAGTGCGTGTGTAATAGGCTCAAACCAATCACAGCAAGGTTGTTTTCTCATGCAATCAGGTACAGAGGACAATTCATCCTTAAAGTAAGTCAGATGACTTTTTCTCGCTTGCTGCTGTTTCCGCGCATTCGTTCCCAGGAAAGGTCCTCTACAAAAATGTCAGGGTATAGTTGTACATTTCAGGGGATAAAATTTGTCCATTGGAATCGCTCAGGTTGTTAAGACTCTAAAGTGACTACGGTAAAGTCATCGCTATATATTGAAGAGCATTCAGTTGAGGGCGAAAAGCTATCAGCGTAAGTAGATTTGCAGTTTTAGAATGGATCCTAATTTAAGCCTCGCCCAATTAATTTTTCCGAACGTCGTAGTCATTATGGCACAACTGAGTGCCAAATCCGTAAGGAAGTCACTTCATTAGCAGATCATTACATTTTCCTACAGCCATTAAAATCAAGAATCAATATTGTTTACAGAGATCAGCGCGCATCAAAGTCAGTTTTTCCTTCCGGAGTTACATCAAACTTGGCCCTTTTTCTCAATTTGTTCTTTCGTAATCCAATTTACTCTTTCGTATTCGTGGCTATCTCTATTTATTAACGGTTTAACGTTATTTATTTGCTGCTCTTCTACCTTAGAAAACTATCGAGTATTAGTAGAATTTTACTAGCATACTACTACAAATGCTGCAATCTGATTGGATGTGCTACTCGCACACCATCAGCCATGGAGTGCAGTGGCTAGAGGTCGTCAACATAGTGGCAAAGGTTTCTGGTTTCCCTAATGTTTCGAGGTAAATTTAGATGTGTCACTGGATAATTTGATTCTCAAGAACACCATAGAAAGAAAACTCTTAATAAACGGATGAGCGTGCACAACTGCAAGTTTACAAATATATATATATATATATATATATATATATATATATATATATATATATATATAT